TACTGAAGTAAGGCTTACTGGCCTATAGTTGCCCGACTCCTCCCTATTACCTTTCTTGTAAATGCTCACAACATTCGCTAACTTCCAATCTTCTGGGACTACTCCTGTTAACAATGATTGGTTAAATAAATCTGTTAATGGTTTTGCTAGTATACCACTAAGCTCTTTTAATAGCTTTGGGTGTATTCCATCAGGTCCCATTGACTTATTTGTCTTTACTTTTGACAGTTGACATAGAACCTCTTCCTCTGTAAACTCACGTGTAATAAATGACTCATTTATCCTTTTTCTCAACTGAGGTCCCTTTCCTTCATTTTCATCTGTAAATACAGAACAAAAATATTCATTGAAGCAGTCAGCTAGACCTTTATCCTCTTCTACATACCTTCCTTCTTTTGTTTTTAATCTAACTAATCCTTGTTTTACTTTTCTTTTCTCATTTATGTATCTAAAAAATTTGTATCCCCTTTTTTACTGGCTGTGCTATTTTCTCTTCTGTGTGTGATTTGGAAGCTCTTATGCTTAGCCTCTTTCTGCCTAATCGTATAGATCATTTTGTCTTCCTCACTCTGGGTTTTTTTTATAATTCCTAAATGCTAACTTTTTGTTTTTAACTATTTTGGCCACATCTGTTGAGTACCACAGTGGTTTCTTGAATGTTTTGCCTTTACTGACAAGCATAATGCAATTTTCTGTTGCCTTCAATAGTACAACTTTTAAATAATCCCATTTCTCTTGGACTCCATTTAAATTGCTCCAGTCGGATAATGACTCCTCTACCCATATTCTAATTTTAGAAAAATCTGTTTTTCTAAAGTCTAAAACTTTTGTTTTTGTGTGGTGTGACTCAGTCACTGTTCTTATATTAAACCACACTGACTGATGATCACTGGATCCTACACTTTCACCTACAGTAATATCTGATACCAAATCTCCATTTGTTAACACTAAATCTAGTATGGCCTCTTTACGAGTTGGCTCCTCAACAACTTGTTTTAGAGACAATCCCAGTAGGGAGTTTAGAATATGTGTGCTATGGCACAAGTAGCTAATTTTGTTTTCCAATTTACATCAGGAAGATTAAAGTCACCCATGATGATAACTTCCCCCTTCATTGTCATTTTAGCTATTTCCTCAACTAGTAGATTATCTAACTCTTCAATTTGTCCTGGGGGCCTATAAATCACACCTACACGAGTTACTGTGTGATTACCAAATTCTAACGTAGCCCAAACGGACTCTATGTTTGCCTCACTAACTTTTATTAGGCTAGATTTTATGCTATCCTTCACATACAAGGCCACCCCTCCCCCTTTCTTGCCTTCCCTATCTTTCCTATATAAAGAGTACCCTGGTATTGCTATGTCCCAGTCATTTTTCTCATTATACCATGTCTCAGTAAAAGTGACTAAATCTACACTATCAGTTGCCATTATTGCCACAAGTTCATGGATCTTATTCCCTAAACTGCGAGCATTTGTAGACATGACTGTAAGCTTATCATTTTTTAACACACTTGCTACAGGCACATTCTGTCCTTGTTTTGGGGGACAATTGGATTGATGTTTTATCACCCTTTTGCCCCCCTCCTAGTTTAAATACATCCTAGCAAAATCTCTGAACTGCTCACTGAGAACATTTGTTCCCTTTTGAGAAAGATGCAAACCATCTTTTTTGTACAGCTTATCTCCATTCCAAACAGAGCTACCATGAGAAATAAAGCCAAATCCTTGCTCCCGAAACCAATCACCAAGCCACAAATTAAAATCCCTAATACGCATCCGCCTGTCGTTCTGAGTGTTATGCACAGAATAGGGTTTGCAAAACTTGTCTAACATGATTGTGGTGAGTTTGAAGGTCAGGGAAATAAATAAGGATGTCATCAAGATAGACCAAGACAAAGGAGTAAATATAATCCCTGAGAACATCATTAATAAAAACCTGAAATACAGCTGGAGCATTGCACAACTCAAATGGCATCACCAGATACTCGTAGTGTCCACTTCTGGTAATAAAAGTTGTTTTACGGGGGGCGGAGCTAGACTGGTGAGCCGTGCCTGACACAAGCTCCTGCCCAGCATGCAGAATCCGGGACAAAAGCAGCGGCTATATAGCCCATAGAGACCCGAGAGTGTACTTCCCATGTCGGGGGTGACCCGCTGAACCCAACAATACCACCCTGTAGCCCATCGGAGCCGGAGAAGCAAAGACCCAAATGCGGCCTACTGGAGCTGAAGCTGGGGGAAGACGGCAGCTCTCCTCTGCGCAGAAGCCCGCAAACGACTCTACCTTAACCAAGGCCCCCCCTTCTGGACCGGTGGGGGACATCCCGTTCCCCACCTGACACACAGACCAGCACGAGAAACAAGCATGCTAGCTACAAGACAAACGGGGGCAAAAGACACGCAAGTCCAAGCCAAAATGGCCGCCCAGCCAAGGCCTGGAAAGCGGAGCACCTGCGCTCAACCACCCGCATCCTCTCTGGAGACCTTTGACCGCCTCTGTGTCTCAGGTGTGCCTTGCAGAGCCAGGGAGCAACTCACCACCAAGCTGACATAATGGTGGCCTCATGGATACGACCAGCGGCATGACGCAGCACACACACACACTCGCATACAGGGAAAAAAGCCGAAACCACACAACAAGCAACGCACATGAGTCTCTCACCAGACCACATGTCCGACACCCAGCGCAGCAAAAATCAGCTCCTCTCAGCTACATCACAAGTAGACATGCGACCACGCACCCAGCAGAGCACTGCCGGATCAGACCCCCGAAGCAGGTACACCAAGAACAGGGGCCGCAAAGGAGAAACAGATAGCAACGGCACTCAGGACTTACCGGCGCTGGAAATAGGCTGAAGTGCCCAACAAATTGCCTCACAATGGTACTTCCGTTTCTAGCCTGGATTGTTCCGAGCTCCCACAACAACCAAGTACCCAGACCCAGAGGATTGATGCATTTTCCAAGCAGACTATGCACCCATAATAACCTTGCCCATGCCCTTGCCTGTATTTTAAAACCAACCTCCAGTGGTTTAATGCTTAAGTTAATCCTTGAGACAACGGCTTATTCTTTTCATAACTACACTAGCATAGCCAATCCAGCACTGCAAAACGTCATTCACTTAAAAGCTACTCTGACAACACAAATGTTTAGTCAAGCATGTTACCTATATCTATATATAAAAAATGTGCAAACTTCTATGCCACAGTATAATGTCTGTAATTCTTGAAACACGCTGTTGTAGCATTTGTTGATAACTTGTAATTGCCTGCACAAGTAAAAATAAAGAATTTAAAAAACAAAAACAAAGCTGTTTTCCATTCTTGTAGTCTGTCAAATAATTCAGCGATAAGTGGAATGGGGAAGGTGTTTCTTAATGGTGATTTTATTCAATGCCCTGTAATCGATACATGGACGTAACTCACCATCCTTTTTCGACACAAAAAAGAATCCTGCACCAGCAGGCGAGGATGATTTGCGTATATGGCCTTTACTCAGTGAGTCCTTAATATATTCCTCCATTATTCTACTTTTCTGTGGGAACAGAGAATAAACTGCTCCCTTAGGTGGCATAACGCCAGGTAGTAAGTTTATGGAACAGTCATGGTCTGTGAAGATGTAAAACATTAGACTGAGTTTAGCTAAATACTTCCTTAATGTCCTGGTATTGTATGGGAACTCCAGGGGTTTGAGGAGTAATAGTGTTTAATTCAATAGTGCCCACTCTCTTGGTGATATGTAACATGCACCTTTCATCACAATCCTTACCTCATTCCAATATTTCCCCATTAGCCCAGACAATATGAGGGTTATGCTTACTAAGCCAAGGAAAGCCAAATATGATAGGACAGGAAGGGGATACAATAACCTGAAATGTTATATCTTCCTTATGTAAGGCACCAATGGACATACTGATGGGTAAGGTTTCGTGAGTAATTAATGGTTGTGAGAGTGGTCTCCCATCTATAACCTCCACAGCTAGAGGAGATAGTCTCTCCTTGACAGGTATAGCATTACCCTTAACAAATTGAACATCAATTAAATTTCCAGCAGCACCTGAGTCCATCAGGGCTTTGCATGAAAAGTTCGTTTTGTCAAGGATAATCGAAATATCAAGGAGAAATCTATTTGATTACTATTGCAGGGTTAAGGAACATGGGGCATTACACCCAGACATCAATGTGCTGAAGTGGTCTGTGTGCCTACAGTGTCCCTTTAATGTTTCTCAGATAATTAAAACTATTACTACTTAAAATAAAGATTGGGGGCGTGGCTTGGAGCTTGAACGGACCGGCCGCACATATGTGAAGCTCCCGCAGCTCAATTATTGAGGAGCCAAAATAAACTGTGTTCCAAGCATTTCCACAGTGCAAGAATACTCACCCACCTTTCTAATGTCGCACAAAAGTAAGCTTTCAAAAGCTGACAAAGCCTCCTTCTTCCTAGAGCGAGCCCCTGTGGAGAAAGGCAGAGAGGGCTGCAGCCCTGCCCAAGATGGCATGAATTACCGCTCGAGTGAAGCATCACCCTCCTCCCTGGCCTCCCCGGGCTCCATATAAGAAGAGGGGCCCCTGACTACTTTGGGGATGACAGCTATGATGGCTGAACTGGCAGGCACAATGCAAGCTACCCTCGAGTCCCAGATTCAGGCCCTGACGGCGGACCTCTGTAAGGAATTACAAGATATTGGGCACAGAACATCCCATATGGAGCAAAAAATTTATGACATCACTATGGCCCAAAATGGTCCATCAGGAGATGGAAGCCATGCTGAAGGAATAGAGATGCAGGATGGCGAATTTGAGAACCGATCTCGAAGGAACAAACTGTTTCAGAGGCATACCAGAACTAACCGACTACCTGATGGACCTCTTCTGAGACCTATACACCCAGACCAGCTAGTGACAGACAGGGCACACCGCCTCTGCAGACCCAGCCAATTACCTACCACAGTCGAATGAGACGTGATAGCACGTATCCATTTCTGCCTGCAGAAACGCCGCCCTCCTGGAGCCCTACAGCGCAGTAAAAGTCTTTGTGGATACCCTAATATCCAACCCGCTTTCAGTCTTGTCAGCGTCCACCCTGCAATTCCGTAAATCAATGGCTCAAATCACTGCCACGCTAAGATCCAATGACCTGAGTTACCGCTGGGGATACCTGGCAAAGTTACTTATCCAGAAGCAAGGAGTGATCCATGCTGTGGCAACACAGAAAAAAGGCCTGCTAACATTAAAAGACTGGGATGTACCACTAGCCGACCCATAACTTGCTACACCGGCCAAGATCCCCAGGATGGTACCGGAGTGGTCTCGTGCTTGACAGTGCCAGGCCCTGCCCGCAGGGTATTGTATAATATCTAGCTGCTTATGAGTGTACAGTTAACCTGTTGTTCTTAGTTATGTTCAATTAACGTTCCGTTTTCCTGCCTTACTATTGCCATTGAACAATTGCATACTATAACAATGTCCATTGCATACCATGTTATTTACCATCTAACCAGTTAAAACATGCTACATCTTCACCACTACCTGGTTAGAATTTGTCACTGCCCATTTAGCAACGCAACCAAACATGTAACCAGATTAAAGGTATATCCGGCACAGGCCACGAAACAGTTATTTTTTATTTAAAATTCCAACAGCTCCTCCTGAGCCTTTACATCCGAGTGACTCCTTGATGTGGAGCTGCTCACGGCCGCCCCCACACTATATGTGTCTGCATATGCCACAACACATCAAGACCCAAATCTTCTGGATGCTATTCTGTTTCTTATTTCTGTTATGTTGTCGCTCCTTTAAGTTACCCCTCCTCCACCTACTTACACCACTGGGTACAGAGATGGCTACTTTTCCCAAGTATGCCTTTTATATTAACCGCGATTGATAGGCACTTATCCTTAACCCCCCAAGAGGGGGCCTCTGAGATCTTGCCTAATTCACTCTATAAAACACTATAAAGATTACAACCCTTAATGTTAAGTGGTTTAATACCCTAGGAAAATGCAGCCTACTATTTAGGGACTTTTAGTAGAGAACGGATATCGCCTGTATACAGAAGACACACTTTAGCAGAAACCACACTCCATCTATCTTCAACAAATTTTACCCATCCAAATTTCATGCCCTTTCCAATAACAAGACAAAGGGAGTGTCTATATTTGTCCATAGAGATTAAGCCCTTACTGTGCGGCAAAAAAATATAGACCCTCTAGGCAGAAATATTATGCTCGAGGGGCTATTCAATAATGCACAATACACGATAGTATAGGTTTACTTCCCAAATACAAATTCCACATAATTCCTCCAGTCCCTTCTACATACTATTGATGAGGTTAAATCAGGGGGTCTGCTCCTGTGTGGAGATTTAAATTTTTTACAAGAACCTGCATTTGACACCACTGCACAACCCACTGGTCATAGAAAATGGCAACTGGCCACCAATAGTAAAAGCCTGAGCAAACTGCTTGCACAATACAGTCTTTATGACATGTGGAGAACCCTACACCCTCTCAAATATTGAACTGTGCGATAGGGGAGATTGCCAGAGGCATCCGCTCCCATCATCCCCAGCCACCCTCCTGCAACTAAAGGTAAGAGGAGGGTGGCTGATAAATGAGGTGTGTGTGTGTGTGTGTATATATATATATGTCTGTGTGTGTGTCAGTATGCATGTATGTGTGTGTGTGTCAGTATGTATGTCTGTGTGTGTGTGTGTGTATGTATGTCTGCTTGTCTGTATGTGTGTATGTATGTGTGTGTCAGTATGCATGTATGTCTGTGTGTGTGTATGTCAGTATGCATGTATGTCTGTGTGTGTGTGTCAGTATGCATGTATATCTGTGTGTGTCAGTATCTCTGTATGTATGTATGTGTGCACGTCAGTATGTATGTATGTGTGTATGTCAGTATGCATGTATGTGTGTATGTATGTCTGTTTGTCAGTATGTATGTCTGTATGTATGTGTGTCAGTATGCATGTATGTCTGTGTGTGTATGTCAGTATGCATGTATATCTGTGTGTGTCAGTATGTCTGTATGTATGTGTGTATGTCTGTATGCATGTGTGTATGTCAGCATGTATGTCTGTGTGTATGTCAGTGTGCATGTATGTCTGTGTGTGTGTCAGTATGCATGTATGTATGTGTGTCTATCTGTATGTGTGTGTGTGTGTATGTAAGTATTTATATATGTCTGTATGTATGTGTGTGTCAGTATGTATGTGTGTGTCAGTATGTATGTGTGTGTATCTCAGTATGCATGTGTCTGTGTGTGTGTCAGTATTTATATATGTCTGTATGTATGTCTGTTTGTCAGTATGTATGTCTGTGTATGTGTCTGCAAGTATGTATGTTTGTGTGTGTGTATGTATGTCAGTATGCATGTATGTCTGTGTGTATATCAGTATGTATATGTCTGTATGTATGTCTGTTTGTCAGTATGTAAGTCTGTTCATGTGTCTGCAAGTATGTATGTTTGTGTGTGTGTATGTATGTCTGTTTGTCAGTATGAATGTATGTCTGTATGTATGTATGTGTCAGTATGTATGTATGTCAGTATGCATGTATGTATGTCAGTATGCATGTATGTCTGTGTGTGTATGTCAGTATGTATGTATGTCTGTATGTATCTGTGTATGTATATATCTGTATGTATATCATTATGTATGTATGTTAGTATGTATTTATGTGTCTGTATGTCTGTTTGTATGTCAGTTTGTATGTATGTCTGTTTGTCAGTATGTATGTCTGTATGTATGTGTGTGTCAGTATGTATGTGTGTATGTCAGTATGCATGTATGTCGGTGTATGTATGTCAGTATGTCTGTATGTATGTGTGTATGTGTCTGTATGTGTGTGTGTGCTTATGTCTGTATGTATGTCTGTTTGTCAGAATGTATGTCTGTATGTGTCTGCAAGTATGTATGTCTGCGTGTGTGTATGTCAGTATGTATATATGTCTGTGTGTGTGTCAGTATGTATGTGTGTATGTCAGTATGCATGTATGTCAGTATGTCTTTGTGTATGTGTCTATCTGTATGTCAGTATGCATATATGTATGTATGTCTGTGTGTATGTCAGTATGTATGTATATATCTATCAGTATGTATGTCAGTATGCATGTATGTCTGTGTGTGTGTGTATGTCAGTATGTCTGTATGTTTCTGTGTATGTATATATCTGTGTGTGTGTATGTATGCCATTATGTATGTATGTATGTCAGTATGTATTTATGTGTATGTATGTACGTCTGTTTGTATGTCTGTATGTCAGTTTGTATGTATGTCTGTTTGTCAGTATGTATGTATGTCTGTATGTATGTGTGTGTCAGTATGTGAGTATGTATGTACGTCAGTGTGTGTGTGTCTGTATGTCAGTATGTGTTTGTGTGTGTATCTGTATCTGTGTATGCATCTATATGTGTGTATGTCTGTTTCAGTATTTGTGTGTATCTTTCTGTGTGTGTGTGTGTGTGTCCTTTTGTGTCTGTGTATTCCTGTGGGTGGGATTTGGAGGTGGGGCTTGTAGGCGGGCACCTGGGGGCCCAGACCTTGAGCTGTGTTAGGGGGCCCCACAATTTCTGATGGCGGCCCTGCTTTGGAGCACATGGAGATCAGGCACCTCGTGAACACTGTAATTTCAATGTAATTCGTGTGAATAGTGTAAACCAACCACCTACTTCGCTGGATGGGTGTCAGGATTACAAATTGATCCAGCACACAGTACTGTGTCACACCTAGGACTAAGGATAACGTATAACCGGACCTTAGAATGGCCGGACTTAACGTCTCCAGGAATAGTCAAAATACTTGCTGAGGTCAGGGACACAGAAAAAAGACACAAAGATGAGGGAAAGACAAAAGTCAAGGATACCAGATACCAGAGACGTCAAAACAAAGCCAAAGTCAAATACCAGAAAATTAAGATCAGGAACGCACTCTTGGATAACCATAGGCATGAAACCATGACAGGGCAATGAGCAGGGGAAGAATTGGGTTTAAATACCCCCCCGTGGATATGATTGGCTGTAACCGGCCTTTGACCCCAAAAGTAATTACCATGTGCATGATTGCTGCTCAGCACAACTTTTCCTGTCAGGGTGGTAATGTTGCTTGGCACAACTTTTCTTGTAAATGCCATTAACCACATTTTTATGGGTCTATAAATACGTTACACTGGGTACCAGAAGCGGGTCACCTATACCTCATCCCTTTGCTGTCTGAGAACCATATCGACGATAAACGGATGACAAGCTATAGTATATCGTAGCAACCCCTTATAATTCTCTGCCTATACAAAAAGTGTTATGCCACTCAATTGTATCTACTTATACTCAGTTGTACCTAACTGTATCTGAACATATTCCCAACTCATCCATAACCATCCTCCTTCTTCCCCCCCCCCCCTTTTCTGTTTCTGTAGACCCAATCCATACCTTTATGTGAAAAAAAAATACACAATTTCAACAACAAAAAAAAAGGATCAGCTGCATCTTTCTCTCACATTATCAAGCAGGGCATGCCTTTTAAAATCTATAATTGACCCCAAAATTGTACTCACTACAAATTCTGTCATTGCTACTTTTGAAACATGAAATGCAAAGATGTTATGGTCTTTTTACAACCTTGCCAATGCACAGGAAGAGGTCATGGGTGAGTCAAATACAGCAGCAGCAACCTACATTTAAATTAGGCCTTGATATCCCTCATATATTTGAATAAGATCTGGTGACACGATATTGCCAATCTTTAGATTGTATTTCATAACAGGATACATTTTCTATAATTTTATGGAACAACCATTTTGTCCTCAAGTCCATCTAACCAGCATACTCTATACATCCTTTTTGCAATTGCCAGAGCGTGTTAGACATAATCTTACTCTATTCCACCATCGAGGCTTAAAAATTTACTAAGCTCTAACTCAACCCTCACTAACATTAATCAAGATTCCTTTCTAAACGTTTATTTTCACTTTGTAATGACTTGCCTGCACAACTTCTTAGTCTTACACAAGAGCTCCATATGATGCATTGGGAATTATTTGGACACTCACCAACATAGAATTCTAACTCTTTCACAATTACGAAACATGTTCGCTTCACTTCAAATCGCTTTTTTTTGCCTATTTATTAGAAACAATGTCAACATGGGTTTCCCCATTTGCAGAACAATGGCTGGATTCTGTCACTGGACTCTTATTTGGAATCTTTTCCCACCGTATTACTCTATGGATGCTGTCCAGGAGGTGAGAGGGTCTGGGAGGGAGG